AATCAACAGAGGTTTCATTCACTGACCAACGAGCGGACAGGATGCTCCATACATCTCCAAGCAAACATGAAGGAGAAGTTGATTATTATTATGTTTTTATGGTAAAATCAGAAGTAAGATTTCACATAACTCTAGCAGCATCTTGTGAAACATCATATCTACCACTTTTTTTAACTCTGAACCGCTTAAATAACCTTAATTCCCTCCAACCTGACACAGCCAAACAAAACAACGGAAGTTTTAATTTCGCCATAGAACAGAACGCGTAGACGGCTTTGCCGCTGGCCGCTGCTGCGGATCGCCTCCCGTGTGTCAGGTAATAAAAGCAACGGCGACAAATTTCGCTGATCGCGGTCGTTTGTCGCCTCCCGTGTGTCAAGCCCATAAATCTGGCAATCATCAGCATAGAGATGGAACGCTAGGACATGTTTACGAAAGATTGACCCCAGAGGAAGCAAATAAATGGCAAACGAGAGGACCAAGGATCAATCCCTGCGGGACCCCCCAGTGGAGCCCCTCCCAAGAAGAAAATACATCGCCTAGTTTAACACAGAATGTCCTATTGTGGAGATACGATCTAAACCAATCTAGAGCAGACCCTTTGATCCCAACCCATCGTTCCAAGCGATCAAGCAGAATCACGTGGTAAACCATGTCAAAAGCTGCTGTCAGATCTAACAACAGTAGCACCACAGATGTACCCTGATCTAGTGATAGATAGATATCATTTAAGACCCTCAGTAGAGCCGACTCTGTGCTATGGCCAGACCTGAACCCTGATTGGAAGACCTCAAACAGATCAGAGTCAGCTAAATGTGAGACCAGCTGCTAATAAATGACTTTCTCAAGCAGTTTTGATGTAGAAGGCAGGGTAGAGATAGGCCTGTAATTTTTGATCACAGAGACATCAGCACCAGGTTTCTTCAGGGTCGGCCGAACAACTGCTGCTTTCAAAGCAGTTGGGACCACACCTGTGCTGAGGCTCCCATTGATAATCTGGCCAAGTGATGGGCCAAGACACGGACAGGCAGCCTTCCAGAGATGAGACAGCAGAACGTCAAGTGGAGAGCCAGATGGCTTCTGCCTTGCAACAAGCTTACTCAGCTCAGAATAAGAAACGGTATTGAGGGAGCTCAGGGTGGGTGGTGATGGAGGAACTGGAACACGGTCAATAGAGTTACAAGAAATAGCTGCTCTAATACCCGATAATATATGAACAAAGAATTTGTGAAAAACTTCAGAGTTTCCAGCAGCTGTAGCAGACATAAAGCCAGGCTCCTGATACACCAGAACAGAGTTCAGTGTTTTGTAGAGAATCTTGGGATTCTTGGAGTTTGTTTTGATTATGTCTGCAAAATAGGCAGTTCTAGTAGCCCTCACAGCATCCTGATAAGCAACCAGTGATGCTCTGAACAACTCATGCGAGACCTGTAGGCCATCCTTTTTCCACTTTCTCTCAGAGGATCTACACGTCCGCCTACAAGCCTGTGTGACATCAGAGAGCCAAGGCTCCCTCCTAGGCCTGGACTTGCAAAGCTTGAGAGGGGCAACCACGTCCAGGACCTGATTACAAACTAAATCAAAGTGTTGTGAATAGTGATCAATGTTAGATGGATCTGGGTTAAAGGTCTCTAACCTTACAGACATACAGTCCACAAACTTTGAAATAGTTTCTGCATCCAGGGCTCTGAACCTAGTAGCTGGAGCTTCACACACAGGGACAGGACATGGCAACGTAACATCACAGAGTGTTGAGTGGTCAGAGAACACAGGAGGCAAAGTCTCAAGGTTCATGACAGGTAGACCAAAAGAGAGAACCAGGTCCAGGGTGTGACCCCTGGCATGAGTTGGGGACGATACCCCTTGAGTTAAATTGAATGAATCTAACAAATTCAAAAAACCTTTAGCAAGCACATTGTCAGGACGGCAGATATGGATGTTAAAATCACCAAAAAATAGGACATAGTCATATTTTAGGATGCAGTCTGCCACAAGATCATAGAAATCATTGAGGAAGTTAGAGTCAGTCTTTGGAGGGCGATAAATCAGCACGACGAGCAGGCGGGGGGAGATGCGCAGTTCAAACAGTCACAGTTCAAAGGAGGAAAATTACATAATGGGTGTAAGCTCTTTACAAGGAAAGCTGGATTTAAAAACAACAACCAGCCCACCACCTCTCCCTCGCAATCTAGGGATATTAAAACAGGAGCAACCAGGTGTTATCAGCTCCAGCAGGGTGCTTGAGTCACCAAACGGGATCCAGGACTCACAAATGCACAGAAAACTCGTCATGTTGAATAAAAAAATCCCAAAGAATAAAAGTTTTGTTCTGCACAGACCTGGCATTGACCAGACCAAACCGGTGCTGTGGCTCATCGCGCACGGGCACAGCGAACAGGGTCACCGCACCGGGAGGGCACCACCTCCAGCTCAGAGCCCGTAACCAAGCGCGGATTCTCCCAGCAAACCCCACTCTGGCGAGGTCCTCGAGCCGAATGGCCGTGGCGCGGTGCCAGCTCACCCTCAGAGCCGGACAAGTTCACAAGGCAGGGGGCAGAGTAAACCATCAGATGTCTCGGAGCCACCGGGTCACAAGGGCTTCTTCAGGGATCCAGGAAGTCCAGCCCGACGTCTCATGCGCCGGCTACCTCGCCTTCCCCGTCTTCTGCGATGCTTCATTCTCAAGCTGGGGTGGACAGAAGGCCGACACATCATGGCTGGGGGGGAAGAGAGCACACGGACAGTCCAAGCAACAATGCCATCCGTGAGGTTCCCAGCGCGCAGCGCCCGCTACATCAACAGGAGGACGAAGCCTCAGCAGCGCATCTGAATCATAAGTCACCAGAGAAGCCACACCATTCAGAAAAAGCATCAGAAGCAACAAAAGTGCATAAAAGCCCACATAAAAGCCAGTAAAACGCAAGGTTCCACTGCGTGAAGAGGACAAGCAGCTCGCTGCGGACACCTGTGCGAGAGCCATCAGTCTCTTTTTTTCCCTCTGTTTGTTCACAATGAGCCAATTTAGTCAGCATGTTTGAATAATTTCTGTCTTGAGTTTTTTTAATTTTTTTGGCTCAAACCTTTTTTTCAGTCTGCTTCTTCCATTTCGGGAGGGACTGAATCCGCCACTTTGCTCCCAGAGTGACAGGTCAGTTAAAAAAAACTCAGCGATGAATTTAAACGTCAACGACCGTGCTGCATCTGTAACATCTGTAATTATAAATTGCAGAATATTTTTATAAATATCTGACAGGTGAAGGTGTTTTAGAAGTTTCTACCGCTATAAAATTCCATATTTTAGTCATTTCAGGCAAAACATTACCAAACGTTACCTTTTTCTTCACATAGACCCAATTTCACCTACCAGTTCTCTGCGACGGCGCGTGACAAACTAAATAATTTAACATGAAGGAACACGTGTTGCGTCATTTACTGATGCTGAAACGTTTTAAGCTGTTTGGGAGGAGAAGGAAACAAGTTTAACCACAAATAAACCATATTTTAACTAGAACTCAAATCTAAATTCTCAACTATTGCGTGCCTGGTGTTTAGTAATGATGGGCAAGTTAGTGTTGTCACGGTGACAACTGATCTGCAAGCAATCTGCTCAAACTACAGCAAAGTGTAGTCCCGCAGAGCAGCTCACAGGGCTGCTGACTGGTTTTTAAGTTGCATCTGAAGTGCAGCAGAATAAAAATCCTCCAGGCAGTTCAGCCAATGCTAAAGCACTGAACACGATTAATAATTAAACTGATTTCCGCCTTCTTCTACAAGCAATGATTCAACAGTTTGAAACGTTAACCTTTGTGATGTTAACCTCAAGGGTCATTTGGGCCAGCGGCAGCAGAGGAGTTTAGAGTCCGCCCCGTAATGGGAACGTTTCCCTGCTCAGTTTGTCGCTGTTGTTGTGGGGAGCCGTTTGTCCGATCACCTTCATTATAACGGCGTAAAAGCCAATCACTTTTTGGGCTTCCTCTGGGTATGTTGGTTGAGGGCTTCCAGGGGAGCCCATTACCTTTTCAAGTGGGAGCCAGCCAGGCTCCCCCTAGCTCCCCAGTAATTTGAGCTCTGCACTTTAACCTCCTTGCCTGCTGGTGGTGAACGGAGGGACCGATGACACCACCAGGGTGTGAATGTGTGTATGAATGACTGATTAAGTTGTAAAGTGCCTTGGGGGTTCTAGGACTCTGTAAGGAGCTCTATCAAATACAGTCCAATTTAGGATTTATCAAATAAGGAAATGATTTATTGTCATTTATGAAAACAGTATAGAGTAGACAGAAGTAAATGAGGGACATGCAGCTGCGTAATGCCAGATCTGTGTGTGTGTGTGTGTGTGTGTGTGTGTGTGTGTGTGTGTGTGTGTGTATCTACAGCAGGTGGACACAGTCAAACCAGTGTTCACAATGACTAAGCATCTATTCCCTAACTGAGGCTCTACTGTCTCCTGTGACTAAAGCTTCTTTCAAAAACATTCCTGAGTCGTCAGACAAATCTAGAGCTGTGAGATCACACACACACACACACACACACACACACACACACACACACACACACACACACACACACACACACACACACACACACACACACACACACACACACACACACACACACACACACACACACACACACACAAAATCACAAAACAAGCACATTCACATTCAAATGCACATCAAAATACAAAGAATTCTACAAAACATCTAATAAACACTCCCAATGAGGTCTTGTCTGACTTTTGGAAGCCCCTTCACCTTGCCTGATTAGTTGAACATTTATTTATAAAGCCTTTTGCAACGATTTCCTCACGGTGACAAATAGATTCTACAGAAAAAGTAAAGCTGAATGATCATTGCTAACAATTTCAGCAAGCTGTTACTCTAATAAAAGCATCACTCACCTTTCTATTTCTGTGTAACTCAAAAAAACCCATCTCATCTTTGTGCTCAGTAAAAAATGTATTTGAACTGAACAGCAGCAGATCAGAGGAGGTGACGTACCAACGCAGTTGTCACAGATGCTGCAGTGAGATGCTCGTGGGGGTCGGAAGATCTTGCAGGTGTAGCAGTACTTGAGCTTGACGATCTGGTTGTTGATCTGGACGTTACGGATTCGAGGAGGTGGTCGCTGCCCGGCGGGGACGTTCCCATTAGCAGCTTCTGTGAGAAGAAAGAGAAAAATGTTATCAACATCTAGAACAAAACAAGCAAGGAACACAAAGTTCACAACAGTGGAAGGTCAGAGGGCAGAAGTTCACAGATCAGGAGATAAAAGTCTATTTAAATGTGGATAAATGAACCAGTGAGTAGGAATCCTAGCTCGATGCATTAATAATAGCAATAACTGTTGCCAATTTCTCAATATAATTTTACTTCAGCTGTAAATTGCATAATTTCTTGTTGGATTTGAACTTCAAATAACCTTCATAACATTTACACAAATATACTTCAAAGTACTTTTTTATTAGTCTCATTTCTGCACAGCAGTCGCTGCCCAAATTAAATCTTCCAACATTTATTATTGTTGACTATTTAGATTTTCTGATTATGTGGCGCTGCGGGATGAAGGCTAATGATCCCAAAGCTGCAGGCTGGATCATCTCACCAGAGAAGAAGCCTACCACAAGCATGCTGCAGCAAACAGGCATGAGCCTACCGTTAATGGAAAAGAGCAAGCATTTTCATTTGACTTTCTGGAGATGCATTAAGATAAAAAAAAGCGATATTTGTGGAAATTCAATTATCTCAGCAAGAGAAAGAGTTCAGAGATAAGCAGGAGTGAGTCAAATCTAACCTAATAGCATATTTATCAGTTGTGTGTAAAGCCTTCAGTGAAAGTTTTGTATTTGTGCAAAACAGCCAATTTACAAATAAATCAAAAATCTAAATCAGTAGGTAATGGAAGAGACCCCCCCCCCCCCCCAACAGCACCAGATAATTGGTATTATGCAGAAGGTGTAAGAACAGAGGTCTTTGGGATGAGCCATCAGAAAATACATTCATGAGTCATCGCTCACAAGGACAGGTGCCACTCCCTTGAGTAGCCTGGTAGCATTTTAAATTTCAAGAGGATTCATCTCATCGTATTAGCTCCCCCCCTCGGGACTGCCACTAGACAGAGGGGACAAAACATCCAGGCTACAGCTGCTTCATCAAAATGCCTGCCTTTTCTTTCTAATGGCTTTTTTAAAACATGTTTCCCCCTCTTTAGCTGAAAAAAGGGTCTAACACTTGATGAGGGAAATTACAACCGGGTGACAAATTAAAACGCCAAGCAAAGCATAAAAACAGCTAGGGCTGAAACGATTCATCGAGTACCTCGAATAATTCAAGTACAAAAAATCTTCAAGTCAAATTCTCTGCCTCGAGGCTTCGTTTAATTCATGTTTAATTAATTCATGGCTTTGCAATCACCCGGGGGTCACGTTTCACCCAGACCGAAATAAGTGACGCACATACATACTGCACTGAATGCACACGCGAGTAGCGAACGCAACTTAACTTTCTCTTAAGCCATGGCGGACAATGTGGACCCCGGTGGAGTGCGAAAAAGACACAAAATGCCAAAGGTGTGGGACCATTTTTCACGTCGTAAGGCGGAAAACGTAGTCCAGTGTAAATACTATAAAATGGATTTAGCCTACCACAACACCACATTCCTCGATGCTGCAGCACCTGACCAGGAAACATCCACATGTAAATGTCACTTCTGCAAGCGGACTTGGAGCCTCTACAAGATAATGCATTTTAGCATGTATTTCTATATATTCTGCAGACACTGTGCGACTTTTTCATTTGTAGCACTTAGTTTCAGCTCACATCGCACGTCTGTTAGCAACACGTCAGCCTTAAAATGTGCTAAAAATAGCAGTTTTTACAACACGTCGGACTTTTTACTGTGTTGTTATTGATGTCCGTTGTCCCTCGGGATTGCTGCAGGAGGACACGGGTATTTATGAGAGTGACGGAGGAAAATAAATAAATGTTGTGTGATCAGTGTATTTTGACATAACCACGGTAAACATGCTTTCTCGACAATCCTTGTTAGTGTGAGAAAAAAAGTGTAGAAATTAAAACGGACGTGTGTTAATAGGGAAATAGCTGGCGAGCCATGTTTGCGCATGCGCCGTGAGCGGTTCTGGTGCTGTTTGGGCCACAGCCGCTTGCATTTGTTTACTGTGAAGTAAAGTTGAAGGGCTGAAGTTTTGAAAACTAATTTTGAATAAAACGAAGAATACCTGGCAATTGCATGCTCATTTTAAGAGGTCTTTCATATTTTATAACATGCTATTTGATATAATGGTTTACAAACGTAAAAGGGTCATTTATTAGAGTACTCGATTAATCGATAAAATATTCGATAGAGTACTCGATTACAAAAATGTTCGATAGCTGCAGCCCTAAAAACAGCCTTTACCGACGTTGACTTTAAAGGACTCACTTCTTTAAAATGAAAAGCTAAAAGATTCCACAGCAAAGTCGGCAGGACATGATCACGTTTAGTCTCATCGAACCCTCCTTGCTCTAAAAACGAATGCAGAGTCGATAATGTGTCCGTGCGTGCGTGCGTGTCTCTCCCTTTTGGAGCTGACAGAGAAGCATGAATCAGGCTTAAGTTTACACACATGTTCCTGCCAAGATACAAAGACAAAACAACTGTTGTCTTAGAAGGACTGAATATAATATTTTCTCACTTCAAGGGTCTGCCTGAACTTGTTTCCATTATGAATATTTTTAATCATTTCACAGCTCTATTAGTGCTGGAACTTGTTTTAAAACCAAAAAGCTATAGCTAATCCGCAAAACCAGCTATCTTAAAACATGTTTTCATGCCTCTTAACAATGTTCTAACATAGTTTTACTATGTTGTGGCGATTAAAAAATGAAACAATAAAGAAATAATAGTAATAATGCCAGAAACATTTTTCAGAATGAAAGCAATTATTGGACCTTCCAGGTGTCTGTCTCACCAAACTGCTGATCACATTTACTTGATATTTGTGTTTGTTGTAAATTAGGTGTTTTGCTTTGTGTGTAGGTGCTCAAACATGTTAGCCTGGCCTGAGAGACTCGTCCTCTGTTTAATTCTGCACAGAGAAAGAGTCTGGTTACTCAGAGGTAGAGGCACATGAGGGGCGGGAGTATAGCCAGCTCAACAATAACCAATCAGAAAAAAGGCAGAAATACAGACTGTCCCGCGAGATGCTGTAGTTTTTTAGCTGTAGTCAAAAATGGTGTCTGGCGACAGCGCAAACATCTTTCTTTAGAAGAAAGGTTTTAGCGCTTCTACTTGTGGTATTAAAGACATGTCCAAGTCATTTAGAACAGAGGAAAGAGCCCCAGTGAACTCCACTCCAGACGCCGTCTTCTTTGTTTATGAGAAACTCAGCGTTGATTGGCTTGGTTAGAATTCTCAGGGAGTGGGGTTGTTTGAATAGGAGCGGTACCAGACCCAATGCTTCCCATAAGGAAGCATGGGGCTGGCTGGCCAAGCAAACATGTAGGAAAGGAGATGCTGTCACATTAAATGAAACCAACTCCCTAAAAGAAATAATTCTAAACTTAGTGCAGTATTACGGTGCCCGTCTGGTGACATTGAGGGAAAAAAAAGTAACTCGTGCCAGTGGCCACAAGATACCTAATGCGTGGGAATGACTTCTTAATGCGTTCCCATGAGGTATTAGTGCGTGGCCACGAACTACATTAAGTATGTCGTGGCCATGTATTAATAACTCGTGGGAATGGAACGCATTAATAAGTCGTGGCCACAAGTTAACGAATCGTTCTCATGCACTAAGTATCTCGTGGCCACGAGATTTTTTTATATCATTGTCACCAGACAGGCACTGTACAGTATAAATTACATCCTGTGGTCAAATTTGGGTACTGCATTCCAAGTTTTAAAACAAATGAGCTACTCTCCCCCTCCCATTTTGAGAGTTTCATGGCTGTTGTCGGTTATGAATCCGTACTAGAACATTCTAGACAACGAGCAAAGACGAGTCATACACAGTAAATTGATAAGTAGATAAATACATTTCACTGTAATATCGAGTTGTTGGTGATTACAAAATGTAGCTTGAGTTTTTTTTAGAGTTGACTATTTCCTCCTAATTCACTGTTAGCATTGTTAGCTCAATGTTAGCATCCAGACTACTTAATGTGATTTTATGCACCCTTTCTGCATGAAGTTAGCATGTTCTTCACATGCGTGTGTGAGTTTTCTCTGGGTACTCCACAGTGCTTAATTTGAGCCGGATCTTGCTGGAACAAGATCCGGGAACTATCTTATTTTGAAAGGACCGTTCCGGCAACTGTCTGCTAGGATCCGGCAACTCGCGACAAACTTGTGCTACATGCAGTTTTCAAATTACGGGTGAGCTAGGGGGCTCCTAGAAGCCCTCAACACACCCAGAGGGAGCCCGAAAACGATCCTGGTTCTACTTATTTTACATTATCTATGTGGACTCTCCGGGGATTACTTTGAGCTGAGAGGCGCAGAGCTCTGATCGTTGATGCGCTCCAGAGAGATGTGTCCTGAGCACGGCCACAGTAACATTCTCAAACTGTCGCCGCCTCAAAAACAAAGTTAACATGCAATTGTTTATGTCTGCTCATATCCTTTCATGCTTTATGTCTTTTATTTGTGTCTGATGCGTTTTGCTGCTGCGGAACGGAGCGCATCACCTGTTTCATCCTCTGGTGACTTCACTGGTGCAGCCGGCGCGCGGCACGCACTCCGCTGTTTTTGCGGTCGGTAGATCTTTTTGAACGGCAGTTCAAAGTTAATTCATGAGGTGAATATATATGAAGCCAAGTAGCAGTTTTTCTTTAAGACTGAGAGGAGATGCAGGAAGATATTTCAGACAGGACAGAAAAATAGTCAAATAAAAACAAGTTCCATTTTGTACCTGGTGGCTGCAACAGACAGACACTATTGAAGGTATACCAGAAGTGAGGAACAGAAAATGAAATGATTCTTCCAATGTTTAGAGCAGCAGGAACTCTGAGAGGCTGCAGGCGCATCAGTGAGTTTGCGGCCATTGCACAGGAGGAGGGGGGAGAGGGCTGAAGCACGGGAACAGTAAAGATGCAAAAACTACCGTTGTTAATTGCCCCCCCCCCCCCCCCCCCCCCACACACACACACACCTGTTTTACCTTTAGTGAACTTTGGTTTGGCGTCAGTATTTGCGTTCCGGGAACGTTTGATTTACAAACTAAGCACTGGTACTCGAGTTTCCTTCCACACACCATAAACAAGCATGGTGGAGACTCCAAAACTGTCCTTAGGTGTGAGTGATCGTGACTAGTTGTGTGTCCCTGTGATATTCTGGCAACTTTCCCAGCATGTCCGTTGCCTCTTACCCGATGTCTGCTGGAGATTTAGACACCAGCTCCCCATGACCCTACTGAATATAATGCAGATCATAAAATGATAGTGTAACCCTTTCTTTCCACCAGACATGAAAGTGTTGCAAAACGTACTGCGTGGCAAGGAGCCGCCATTAAATCAGATGAGTTCCTGTCCACCAGCAGCAAAGTGTGATGTTTTGGACATGTACCAGAAGCAAAGGGATGCAATTGTTATGTTTTGAGTCTATTTTTACGCGCTATGCTTCCAAAACACGTCAAACTCCCCAATTTAGATCGGGCCAGACAGGAAGTCAAACACGAAAGCAGTTTAAGGCACCTGGAAATTTTCAAAATAAAAGTGACGCAAGGATAAATGTACGTTATTTCCTGTGAAACCTCCATAGCCGATGTAAACAGAACAGAAGATAAACCAGACTTTTTTTGGATTCATGCAGCTGTCTTTCTTCTTGCTTTTTATTGTGTGGACTTCTGGATGTTGCAGTTTTCTTGTGATTTTGTCACTTCGTGGGACCAGCGGCGTGGAACGCTGTTGCTCTTGTTTCACATCTGAAATGCTCTCGGTTGGGAATGAGCTTGCAGGTAAAAAGCCGCTATTACGTTACGTGTAGCTTTCATATGCAGTTGAAAGGATGGGTAAGTATGATAATCTAAGCACAGATATATTTTACTTGATGACGTCCAAACTGTCCTCTAACAGAAGATTCTGATGAGGATGCATTGGAAGACTTTGATTCACGTTAGAGAAGTCTGCATGTTTGCTTCACTAAGAGGCTTTCTCGTTGGTGTGAGGGAATGTAGTTCACTTTAAAAATCTACTTAAACATCTGCAATACAGCTGTTCAGCTGCTCTCATTACTGCATCATATGTTGTTACTGTGTCCTGCGATGGACTGACACTCTGTCCAGGGTGTGCCTCGCCTGATTGCCCATTGACCGCTGGAGATAGGCACCAGCCCCCCCGCGACCCTACGTGGACAAGCGGGTTCAGACAATGGATGGATGTTCTTACTAAAGCTTGGTTATGCTTAACGCGTCCGCGAGGTTTGCACGGCTCCGCGCGATAAAATTGCGTCATTTTAACAACCACGCCCCTCCTCCGCACGGCCCAAACTTTCCACACCGCGCATCTAAGAAATTTTCTAACCACGCGGATGGTCGGACATGGAAAAACATGGCGGACTGGCAAGAACTAGTATGGCAGAGGTTCTTAAATACAGACATTTGTATGATTCTCAGAGATCACCGTGATCAACATGTTAATAATTCTTGGAGAGAAATAGCTCGCACTGTCGGAAAAGACGAGGACGCTGTTAAAAAATGCTGGAATGCCATGTTGTAAACAACAGTAATTTCTACTTCTACTATGGTGTAGTGTTGGATGCATGCCGTAGAGCTCCATGCTGCCCCGTTCAGTTTGGGAGAATATTGGCTCACCGCAGAGACAAGCCGCATGAACCATAAACGCTGCAAGTTGTGAAGCGTGTTCCATCCGCGAGCCGCATCACCAAGCGGAAAGTAACTGCGTCAAGCATAAACCAAGCTTTAAACAGCATCGCCTCCTGTTTTAGGGAAAGTAGCAAAGCATCAAATCACAGATGCGGTAAAAGGAGGATTTCATGTTTTTTTTTTACAACTAACTACAATTAATTATTAAAATAAGTATGTTTATTTTCTGCAAACTTACTAATTAATCAGCAGACTGACCGAAGGTTACAGCTCTAATTACTGGTCAATTCCAGTGGGATTTTTCTTTTTTCTAATAGAAACATGATGGAATTGGAGTCACAGAGGTCAAACCCACATAGGTTAAACACCGAGTGATCATCATCCTGCATCCAGTATGAGTCCCAGTCATAAAGAGAGCAGAGCTGGCTACCAGCTTACTCCTCCTCAGAGGAATAAACACTTAAACTCTGATCTCAGATACAAATTTCCACCTGCATGCAATGACTGAAGAAAAACAACTCTGAAATAGTAGAAATACTGTAAATTAAATGCAATAATGCGTGTGTCGCTTGTTTTACATGAGAACAATTTAGAGAATAAGACATTAAGACAGAGCTCTAACCCTAACCAAACCTAAAAGCATAACAAAAATGAATAAAACAGGACTGCCTCCTAGTTGCTTGCTGTAAACTAATATACCGAATTTTTCATTCCTCCTAAATATTTCCAGATCAATCACTTCTATCTAATTTGTTGCTCAAATCGTTGGATGTCATTTTGAACAAAGAGCTCTCAGGTGATGATGACACCAAAACCATCACTCCTGTCTCTGACTCAACATTTAAAAGCATCTGGATGAAAGAGTTGGTTCCCCAGGTGTTGCAGGAGCTGATAGTGGTGGACTGGCTCAGCACAGTCCAGGAAAAGACAAGAGGAGGTAAAACAGCATGATTTGCATATGATAAAAAGTGCGTGGGTGAATTTGAGCACTTCGAAGGCAGCTCAAGTTTTTTCTATTAATGCAAAGTAGTTACAGATGATTTGGAGCTTGTTTGCTTTAAACTGTTCCAGCTCATGCTGTGGTTTTTGTTCCATCTTTAATTATATGGTTTCTTTTCTGTTTCGCATCATAATACAAATCAAAAACCAGCACGAAAACACAGTGAAAATGCTGTTTGCAGATATTCTTCATATTTTTGGCATCAGATGTCAACGCCAAGAAAACAACTCAAAATGTCCTTGGGATGCCTCACCATTTGAGAGATGTGATCATTTAGGATCAAATTTAATTATTTTCTGTTTGACGCCTAGTCTAAAAATGTTTTGTTGTTTTAACAATTATTGACCCAAACCTTTTTAAAATTGAAAACAGATTGGAATAAATACTTCAAAATGTAGAAAAACATAAATTAAAATAAAGTTAAATAACTTTCTATATATGTATGTGTAGGATGTCACTTTTGGAGTTGTCAAACTTCAATAAATGACTCAAGAAGGAATTTTGCAGATGTTTGAAATGGGGTGTGACACCAATGTCACCAAGGGCCCTTGAGGGATAAGCTGTTATGAAAACTTAAAACAACTGTTATAAAATCATAAAGACCAAGTCAAGACAGTCTGATCTGAAACGGATCACAAAATTTCACACAGCTGTTGATTTTTAAAACTTTCGATGACAACAAACATATTTTCCACGTTTGTCTTTTCTGTAACTCACCGATTTCCATCTCGATGAAGTTGGCCTCCTCCGGAAGAGCTCTCGGCAGCACCCCAGGGTCGCTGAAGCTCGTCCTCAGCAGCATGGCCATGACAAACAGGAAAAGGATGATGGCAAAAACCGGGATGGCAGGGGACAGGTGGACGGCCAGGTACGGACATCTGCACAGGAGAAAAGAATAATAAGTTAATGATGCTCTAAACAAGCAAAAGCAAGAACTTGCTTTCCTCATGTCAACATACATTTTGAGATTTCCATTTAGGAAAACAAGTTTCATTCCCCCTTATAGAAGGAAACTGATACTCTTTATTCCTGCACCACAGTGAGAAACCACAACAGCACTGAAATGGGAGATGTATCTTCTCAGAGAGACAGAGGGCACGCAGTGATGATATCTTACATATTCTGAGCTGTTGTTCAGCATGAGGTCACGAACCACGAGAGTCGCCGTTTCTCTGTAAGTCACAGCTGTGAATAAACAACACAGAGTTGTGCTACACAACCTTCAGGAGGAGTGGAGAGGTTTGAGCATCGCTGCACGTGTTTGGCCTTCAGGCTCCTGTTAAACCTCCTGCTGCTCAGGAGCAGATGTGGGCTGCAACAGCAAGCCTTCAGCAGTTATTCATAGTTACACTCCATGGCCTCCACTGCCTCACAAGGCTGGGATCACAGCATCTATACCAGCTGGAGCATCTTTATTATACATTAATTAGTAAATTAAATGTTCAGTCGACAAAAAGCTGTTTAATAACAGAAAACTGCAAAGAAAATGAGCTCAAATCATCTGAACGACGTCCTTCTCATCTTGTCAGGGCAGGACTTTATTTGCACATAACACGCAGCGGACAGGAAAACTAGGTTGTGGCTGCACAAAGAACCACCAGTCAGCACGACTCGGCAAAGACCGAAGTCCATCTGTTTAGCTGCAGATAAACCAGGCATGTCAGCATACCTGAGAAATGAGGAGGCACAACAACAACACCACCAGTCGCAGTGTTTTTCCTGCACTAATGCAAACTAAAGGAGCAGAGTTCAGATCAATAAAGATGAGTGTTTTTGTTCCTTATGTGATGCGGAGAGCAGGTTGCCTGTGATGATGACCTGTAGGCATTCAAGTCACGCGCTATCATCACATCCCATCAAGCAGGACTGATGGGCACTTCCTTCCTGAGTGGGACGACTTCCTCTGCTGCTGAGGGGCTGGGTGGTGGAGTGTCACAGTGTGTTAATCAGCACAGAAGCTGCAGAAAAACTGGATTTAATCAAGTTATTTTGTCTGCATCAGGACCTGCTCCTGTAGCCTCATGTGTCTTGTCCCCCTTGTTAGTGTTGATTGAACTCACCTGCCCCTCGTCACCTTACCCACCTGTTTCCCTGATTACCCTCATGTATGATCTCGTCTTCCTGTCAAATCCTCCGACCTGCCATTATTCAAATAAATCAGTTCTTTTTACCTGCAACCCGCATCCTGTGCCTGCCATTAACTGCATTTTGGATCCAAACTACAACTCCACTTCACAAGTCTGAGAGGGGGGATTTAAAATCAGATAACACCCATGTACCAGTTAAAACTCTTGCCTCCTGTAACTTTGTCCGTTTTGTTTCAAATCTGTCCATCGGCACATGTGAAATAAATTACATTTCCTGTTGGGGTGGATCAGTGAACATAACAGTTTGTGGTGTCACTTTACAGCCTGGAGTTATTTAATAAGCTTTAGGTGTTGCTGAGCAGATTTTTAAAACAGAAACACATCCAGGTGTTCTGGTTTTCCCAGTTTTGGGTCTGGATGAAAATAACCTGCTGCAGGTGGGCTACATTACCTCTATTTAACCAGGTGAGGAGTTGGACCTCATTTGCACTCCTAATTATAACCAGACTAGATACTTTCTTTACAGAAAGATTATTGAATTAATATTTTTCCTCAGAATTTATGACCTGATATTTTGCATGTTGCTCTGCAGCGGATCCCTCACTAAATCAGCATCAGAGTCAGATTTTGCTAGAGTGTGCTAGAGAGCACTTTGATATTCTCCACAACAAACTGATCGATGTCTGCTGCAAAGAGTGCTTAGATCCGCTCAGAAGGAGACCCACAGTGGCCTCTGGTTTCTCTGGTGAGAAACTCGAAGACAGACCCCACCAGTCACTTTAACAATTCACCCTGCTTCCTTCAGGCAGAAGAGTGAGCCACCCCAAAGCCTGGAGCAGCTTCTTCCATGAGGCCGTGACCCATAAGCTGTCCTTCACTAGATTTTGATATTAGTGGTTTATTAATGGATTTGGGTTTTTTATTCAGGCTGGCCTGAGTAACACTTTGTGTTTTCCCGAGTATGTTTTTCCTTAAGCCCAATCTTATGCAGTGAATGAAGAGTTGTCTTTTTTTCATAACATCAGGTGATCGATCATCTGCAGGTCTCTGTTCAGTGAACTGATTGCAGTTTCTCCTTTTTTTCCCAGCACACCGAACGAAGGCATAATTTTTCAAATTCCCTTCTGAAACAAATGCCCCAATTTTCTGATTGGGGTAAGATGAGAACTCAGCAGGTTTTAAAGCCAGAAAACCCAAAAAGCACAATGCATTATCACAAGAACTAAACAGAATGCTACAAACAGGAACTTATTTTAAGGTTTTATTCTCAGAATGGCCCCATTCTTCTGAGGAAATTAGTTTACTGATTCAAACACAAAACTAAAATGTGAAACACTTTTTAAAATGAAGCAACTGAAAGAAACTGTCCAGGTGCACTGATGATCTGCAGGACTTCAGCCAGAATCTGCTGAAAAGTTACTACACTGGTCTGCAAACCCTAACTAGAAGGATTATGAAATCCAGGAGGGTCCATTCATGGTGTTTAAAACGTCCACATGGCTCACTGAAGGTGGTGCTACTGCCACACAACTTACAAGGAGATGTTATGACTTGTGTCATAAGTTATAGTACTCCTGTGGTCGATACAAAACATGTTCATGAAGTTGTTTTCACTCATTCCCTCCCACAGAAAGCCATTTCAGCATTCTTGACAGTTTCAGTACCTTCCAGGATGAGCCGTTTCAGAGCACTTTAAAGAGGGACTGCACATAATCAGAAAATGTAACTCCACCCCTAGTCAAGATTTGAAAAATGCTATGAAAGTGAACGTTGCCAGGAGGCACAGAGTGGCATAGCCAAGTGTGGGGAATTTCCATCCTGGGAGGGAGGGGGAGGAGGAGGAGACTGTACCGATGACTTGAAATTGTTCCATCTCGTCAATCACAAGTTTAAAATGCAGTAGCCGCTGTTCTGCCACAGGGGACAGCACTAAGACGTTTTTAGACCCAGATTCAAGGTTTATTCAATTGTACACTAACATGTAAAAAAATGCACAGAAACAGAAAGATTGCATTTGTAATGACCCAATTATACCATTAATTAGCAAAAAAATCAAAGTTATTTTGGGGTTTAGTTACTCTTAAAGAAAACAGGTAGCGCTGGCCACGCCTATCCATCTCCCGCTCAGGCTGCTATAAGCTGAGAAGCTCCAACATCCAATACCATCTGTCCAGCAGCTAAAAGGGTTGTTTTGGTTTGTAAACGAGAACGCCCATCATTAACTTATGTTTTCCTTGATGCCCATTCTGACTGGTTGGTGAAAAGCGACAGTAACTCCCAATAAGGCGTTTTTGTAGCCCAAAGCAGAAATGCCCTGTGGCTGGCTGGATCCTGCTCCCGACATCCAAGAGGTGCTCAAAGTAAAGCTGCTGCTCCTCCAGCAGCAGGTCTTTCTTGAACGTGCTATGCTGATTCCCAGTTTGTGACATCACAAATAGGGACTTTTGAAACGGCTTATTTTAGGCACATAGATCCTAAACCAAACGCTGACAGAAAATGGGTGGATGGCTTATTTTCAGCAGTAGAGACCCACATGGCAGCACAAAAGGATACTAAAAGTGAGTTTTGCATAACATGTCTCCTTTAATCAGCTTCAGGTTGGAGGTATTTTGATTTAAAACACACAATGTTGATCTAAATCAGGGGTGGGCAATTATTTTTTCCATGGGGCCACATGAGAAACAGAAAATATTGTGGAGGGCCAGGCCAAAAGGCTGAAGTCAATTATGCATAATATTAATGGTATTTCTTTATAAAAAGCAGTAAATACCATTGATTTTTAAAGCTGGTAAGAGTAGACTGTGTTATAAATGAGCTAAAAGGAAAAAGTGAAGTTGGCTTACAAAAATGTGATTTATTCAAATTTCCCAAGGCAATGGTAAACAAAGTGTGCACATTTGTTTTTTGTTAAACATTTGTGATTTATATTAGTTAACAGTTTCAGTCACATTCACTCCAAAACACATTTTGAGTTTCAAATATTGTTGGAAAGAGGTTCTTAGCATTCTACAGACACACAGTATTGTCTGTAAAATAAAATCACTGAACTGTGATCTTGAGAAAGAGGTTTAAAAAAAAAGCGTCCTAGTTCACTGCTAGTTGCCTACATTTGTGGTCCAAACACCTTATTTTGTGTTTTTAAGAGATTTTTTTCTTATTCAATGAGAGAAATCTAGTCTCTGCTGGGCTTTAACGAGTGCATCAAAGTCAGGTTGAATGTCTGAGGTGGAGATGCGAAGCACAGCTGACAAATGATCATCAGTGAGAGAGGATCTATACCTGGATTTTGTAAACTTCATCATTGAAAATGTTTGTTCACAAATGTAGGTAGAGCCGAAGAGAACCAACATCTTCTGAGCATGTCTCCTCAGGTTTGGAAAGTTCTCCTCCTTAAGAGAAGAGTAAAAAATCCAGCAGAGATCCTGACAAAGTGCTCTGCCAGTACTGCATCAGACTGCAGGTCAATGAGTTCCAGCTGCACATCACTGGGTGCATTATCCACACTGCAGGTAAAGGGAGAGGAAATCATGTGCATTCCATCCTCCATTGTTCTGAGATCTTCAAAATGCCTTGAAGACTCACCATGTAATGCTCCTAACATGGATGAGTACCTGCTGAGGTGATCAGCTGATGGTGTGACTTCGTTCAGGGTTTGCATGTGAGTGAGAGTGTTGCTCTCCAGTTGACTTGAAAGAAACTGCAGCTTTCTCATGAAGGCCTTCACGAGGCTGTGCATTTCATGAACAAAAAGGCCCTTGCCTTGCAGTTTGGTGTTCAGTTCATTCATCAGT